GAGAGGCCAGGGCCAGGGTAGAGGCCGAGGACATCCACATGGTGCAGCCAGAGCACCCACACGAGCTACTACTAGGAGCCACCAGTAGCCCAAGTTGGAGCGCATGCACTTTAGACGCCTGTTACTTCACCAGCTCTTCAAGTCGACCCGGTTCCAGATATCATAACGATACAGCCAGTAGCTCCAGTTCAGCCCGAGGTTAGGGCAGCTGTTTCTGAGGCAGAGCAGCTTAGGCTTGAGAGGTACAAGAAGTACCTATCTCCTACTTTTAGTGGCTTGGCGTCAGAGGATGCCCAGGGTTTTCTTGAGAAGTGTCACCGTATCCTCCGTACCATGGGTGTAGCGGAGTCGAGTGGGATTTCTTTCACTACGTTCCAGCTTAGAAGAGCGGCCTATCAGTGGTGGCTTGCTCACGAGTTGGGTAGTCTGGTTGAGGCAGCTTCACTCACATGGACTCAGTTCTCGGATATGTTCTTGAGGGAGTATGTTCCCTAGAGTCTCAGAGATGCATGGCGTGTAGAGTTTGAACAGTTGCGCCAGGGTTCTATGACTGTGTCAGTGTATGCGGTTCACTTCAGCGATTTGGCTAGACATGCACCAACCTTGGTTTCTACAGTTCGAGAGAGGGTTCGCCGATTTATCGAGGGGCTCGACCCTAGTATCAGACTTAGCATGCCCCGAGAGTTGCAAATGGATATTTCTTACCAGTAGGTTGTAGGAATTGCTAGGAGATTAGAGGGCATGCTAACTCGGGAGAGATAGGAGAGAAAGGCCAAGAGGTCTCGAGAGTCTGGAACTTATAGTGGTACTCGTGCCCCAGCGGCAGCTCGTCATAGTAGGGGCTATGTGAGTCGCCCTGTTCATTCAGCACTTCCAGCCGCTAGTGGTATTTCTACCACTCTTAGGAGCCAGGAGCCTTATTATGCACTGCTAGTGTCTAGTACACTTTCTGCACGGGGTGCTTTCAGCTGTCAGTCCAGCCGACTTGGCCAGAGTCAGTCACACCAGCCACGCCCTCCGAGAGCTTGTTTTGAGTGTGGCGACACTCTCTTTATGGTAAGGGATTGCCCCAGACTTAGGAAGGGTACACCTACACAAACTACTCAAGCACCGCGTGCTCCACCGGGTCCCCAAGATATGATTACAGCACCGGCTACCACTCCACCTACTCAGCCAACTCGAGGTGAAAGTCAGGCAGGTAGAGGTCTTCCTAGAGGGTAATGTCAGGCCAGATACTATGCCCTTCCTGCTCGTACAGAGGCAGTTGCATCCGACTCTGTCATTACAAGTATTTTTCCGGTCTGTCATAGAGAAGTGTGAGTCTTATTTGATCCAGCTCCACTTATTCCTATGTGTCATCTTATTTTTCTCCATATTTGGGCGTATCAGTTGATTCTTTGAGTTCTCCTATTTATGTATCTACACATGTGGGTAATTTCATTGTTGTTGACCGTGTGTGTCGGTCGTGTTTGATTGTTCTTAGTGGTTTTGAGACCAGAGCTGATTTGTTATTACTCGGTATGGTAGACTTTGATATTATTTTGGGCATGGGCTGGCTGTCGCCCCATTATGTTATTCTTGATTGTCACGCCAAGACCGTGACACTGGCTATGCCAGGATTACCACGGTTAGAGTGGAGAGGTACCTTAGATCATACTCCCAGCAGAGTTATTTCATTTCTTAAAGCTCAACGAATGGTTGAGAAGGGGTGTGACGCATATCTAGCTTATGTGAGAGATGTCAATGTTGATACCCCTACGGTTGAGTCCGTTCCAGTAGTGAGGGATTATCCCGATGTATTTCTAGCTAATCTTCCGGGCATGCCATCCGACAGGGATATCGACTTTGGTATTGATTTGTTGCCGGGCACTCAGCACATCTCTATTCCTCTATATCGTATGGCTCCTTCTGAGTTGTAGGAGTTGAAGGAGCAGTTACAGGAGTTGCTTGATAAGGGCTTCATTCGGCCCAGTGTGTCATCTTGGGGTGCTTCGGTCTTGTTTGTGAAGAAGAAGGATGGTTTTATGCGTATGTGCATTGATTATGTGGGTAATAATAATACACTCAGTAATTTAATGTTCTCAGTAAGATTCTTGGCACGTTCGAGGACCATCGTTGGTTTAAGAGGGGGAGAATGTTGTTAGGCCCCGTAAAATATTTCCTAAAAATCAAGATTTCCGTGATGCCGAAGTAGGCGTAGAGGTTAATAATAGTAGAAATTCTTTGCGGCGAGTTTACGAGCCGCGATTCGGACTTTTTGGATTGAATAGTGCGCTGGGGAGTTGAAGGAAAATGTTGGGCAGAAGTAGGCATTTTTGCGGTCCGTTTTATGACCGCATAATGGCCGCAGAGTGGAGCAGTCTTCTAGTAAATTTTGATGTCATTTATGCGTCCTATTATGCGACCGCATTACCATTTTGCGGGCCGCACTCGTGTCGCATATCCCTCTTTGGGATTTTTCGGAGGGAGGTTTTGTGGTGCACTATGCGACCGCAGAACCGTTTTGCGGTGTATTATGCGTTTGGAGAACAGGTCTGCGGGCTGTATAGTGACCGCAGACCTGGTCAGTTCCTCTCCAGTTTTGGCACCCAATTTCGCGGTCATTTCGCGAACCACATAATCATTATGCTGTCGCATATGCGACCGCAGAACCTGTTCTGGAGCTTTATTTTTGGGTTTTTAAAACCCGACCCTACTTCGTTAAAATAGATGTAAGGGGCCATTTTGAGCAAAATCTTATACTCTAGAGTGAGAGTGAGAGAGTCCTAGAGAGAGAAAGTGATCTTCATCAAATTGCTCTTCAATTCTCACTTAAAACCTTGAATATTATCAAGAGAGGCACATAGGTCTTCTTCCTAAGAGGTAAGATTCTATCCCGCGCAAATTTACCTCCAAACGGCTCGAAACTAGCCAAAAGCAACTTAAAAACATCAATTAATGCCAAAGGAAACCAACCCGAACTATAAATGTCGAATCTTTAATCAAATACTCAAAGTCAACCAAAAAGTCAAAATCGGGCTCGCACCTCGGAACCCGACAAAACTCTCAAAAAATCAGACAACCCATTCAATTACGAGTCCAACCATACTAATTTTACTCAAATCCAACTCTGAATCGATGTTCAAAATTCGATAATTCACTTTAGGAAAATTTAGACAAAACCCCCCAATTTCTCTTTCAAAATCACCAATTAAATACCAAAACTCAAAGATGTAATCATGAAATATAATCAAAATCGAGTCAAAAATACTTACCCCAATCCATGTGGTGAAAATCGCCTCCAAAATCGCTCAAATCCAAAGTCCCCAACTCAAAATATGACAAAATGAACAAACCCTCGAATTTATAAGCTTCTGCCTAGACATTCCACTTTTGCGGACCACCTGCCACTTCTATGGCGTCGCTTTTGCGACAAAACTCTGCTTTTGCAAATATTCATTCAAATCCGACCTCTCGCACCTGCGGAAATATTTCCGCTTCTGCGACATCGCAGGTGTGAGCCTTGATCCGCTCCTGCACCCCAATTCACCGCTTCTGCGCTTCCGTAGATGCGGCCCAGCTCCCCGCACCTGCGACTTCTCGACAACAGGACACCTTCGCTTCTGCGATATTATGTCCGCATCTGCGTCCAAACTTCCGCATATGCGGAAACACCAGCACCAGGCCTTCTTCAGCAATGCAACATGAGACGAAAATGATCCGAACCATGTCCATAACTCACCCTAGCCCCTCGGGACCCCGTCCGAACATACCAACAAGTCCCATAACATAACACGGACCTACTTAAGGCTTCAAATCACGCATAACAACATCAAAACCACGAATCGCACCTCAAGTCAAATTTAATGAACTTTTAAAAACTTTCAACTTCCAAAACTCGTGCCAAATTATATAAAATCAACTCAGAATGACCTCAAATTTTGCACACAAGTTCTAATAACATAACAAACCTATTCCAACTCCCGGAACAACAATTCGAACTCAATATCATCAAAGTCAACTCTCGGTTAAACTTATGAACATTCCAAACCTTCAAATTTCCAACTTTCGCCAAATCGTGCCGAAACCTTCTAAAAACATCTAGATGCAAATTCGGGCATACGCCCAAGTCCAAAATCACCATCCGAACCCAACGGGACCATCAAAACTCCGATCCGAGGTCAAATATACAAAAGTCAAACTCGGTCAACTCTCCTAACTTAAAGCTTCTAAAATGATAATCATTCTTCCAAATCAATCTCGAATCACCGGAAAACCAGAATTGACGATTCACACAAGTCATAATACATCATATGAAGTAACTCAAGACTTTAAATAGCTGAACGGAATGCAAATGCTCAAAACGACCGGTTGAGTCGTTACAATTTTATTGCAAAAAAGTCAGGTATTATTTAAATTTATCAATAATATTTTTGAGAGTTATTAAAATGCGCTCACATCAAAACCAACTTAGAATGTTCAGATGACAATATTATTTAATTTAGCAAATTATTTAGTTAATTATTTAATTTCCTTGACCAAATACCACATTAGTTTTATGCTCCCACATCACTTTGGAATCATATTTTGGAACTACCGCATTGATATCATTTAATTTAACAAATTATTTTGTTAATTATTTAATTTCCTTTACCAAATATCACATTAGTTTTATGGTCCAGTCTGGAAGTGAAACTTTCACATTTTTATTACAACCCACGATTTGAAACTATCACTTTTTTTTAAACTCCAACTATTTTAATAATATTAGAATTTTGGCGAGCTCCCTCCATTTACAATCAAGAGGTTGTAAGTTTTCACCTTTCCCAAACCCACTAATAAAATTATAAAATTTTTATCGTAACGTTGCACATAACTTAGCAGTTAGCACGTTTGAATTACCTTTGGTAAACCTGTGATGTGATAAAATTTGTTTTTTGAATATAAATAAAAATAAAAACTGTCCTCCGTTTTACTACAGCTTACAGGTAGAAGATACAGGCAGCATAGATATATGAGAAATTCAGAATTAGAGCTCAGATTTAGCAATTCACCTATTTGTCTAAGAGTCTCTCTCTCGAGAGAAAGAGAGAGAATGGATAGTGTGTTTTCTGTGGACGACATTGCAGACCAGCTGTGGTCATCGCCGCCGCCGATGCGGTTGTCTCATGAATTGGATTCGTCTTCCACCACGTCGTCGTCGAAGATGATGAACAGGAGCTCGTCGGAATGGGCTTTTCAGCGATTCCTTCAAGAGGCCACCGCCGCCGACACTACTACTTCCTCGTCTTCTTCGCAGCAGATCAAGGATCAGACGCTTAATCAGAATTTAATCGCTGATCAACCGAAGCCGCCTATGTCCAATACGGCATCCTTTGGCTCCGAACCTCCTCCGAATATTCCGATAGAATCCGATGAATACCAAGCTGTCCTCAAAAAACGCCTTGATTTGGCTTGCGCCGCCTTCGCTTTGACTCGTGTAATTTTTTTCTTTTGGGCTTGTTGTTACGTTATTTTGTTTTTTGCTTTTCTCCACATTTAGGATTAATCAAAGCAATTTTATCCTCAGGCCAACTGTGTAAAACCTCAAGATTCAGTTTCTTTGCCATCCGAAAAAGGATCACTGTCGGCTACTGCATCACAATCTGGATCTCAGGTTCCTCCAAAAGGTTAGGGTTACCAATTAAACTGAATATACTGTTTTTCCTTGTTTTTTTCCTTCAAAATTTATGCATCGCGTTGGTTTTCAGATGCTGGTGTCTTCCGCAGGAAATTTCTAGTATTGTTGCTTACTCTTGTTCATAAAAAAATTATGAAATTAACATATAGGTGTTTCACTATTCATTAGACCTGTGTCATTACACTTGTTAACCATTTGGACGACTTTTAAGGAAGGGTTTTAAACTTTTTTTGGAGAACAGTTTTATGAAAAAGAAAAATATGTTTGTCCATTGTAGTTTTCTTTTTTCTTTTGATGAGTTGTGTGTGTAAATCTAGTTTTTAAATGAAAAGCACTTTCAATGCTGTTCATCATTTATCTTTTTTTTTTCTTTCCCGAAAAGATCACCTTTGCAAAAACTTGAGCAAACATGTTTTTGGAAAAAAAAATATTCAGAAAATTCCGAAAAGCTTTTCATGAACAAGGCATCCTGAAGCAAGCCTTTATTGGGAAGGAGGTTCAGCAGGACACAAGAGAGTAGCCATACCTTTTAAGCTAGCATAGATAGCAGTGGGAGATCAAACAAATGATTCATGCAATAGCATGAAAGAAGTCCTACTAAACTAAAGAAGCAGATGAAACATCGGGTCACTTTTCTCTTACCAAGCTTGCAAGACAAAAACAAAGTATTAAATTTCGGTGAAATGGAGTATATAAATGGATATGTGTCCATCATTCGTGCAATAACTACAGTGCATCGAAAATGTAAGAGGCATGATATTGTTCACCATTAAAACACGTTTCAATTAACAATGAGTGCAACCAAACATAATATACGTGCTTATAGATAACAAGGAGAAATAAAATCTGGTTTGGACCTCTCTTTTGAACATTCTAAATGATTTTCATGCTCTTCTTTAGTGTGTGTGCCGAGAGCGAGTTTCTTAACCACACGTTGCACGAACATAAGAGGACGACCCTAGGGGGATGGATCCTTAACCACACGTTGCACGAACAACTCACATGTCATAATCATAACAACTGCACGGACAACTCACGCGTTGTATGGACAACTCACCTGTCAATAATAATGACAACTGCACGGACAACTCATGTGTTGCACAGATAACCCACGTGCCGTAGTAATAATAACCGCACGGACAAGTCACGTGCTGTCAACCCAATCCATCACACAGAAAACATATACAAGAATACATGTATACAATCAACGGATATCAAATTGCATACTCATGGACTGATAAAGTAGCATGCTAAGGTATGCATGTGTGAAGTGTACATTTACAACTCAAGTCAGGTGAGTATGCCATACAATAGCGAGTATCATGTTCAAACAGGAAATCAAGACTTACACATGATCTCTAGCATTATTCGAGAAGTTTACATAACCATACAAACATATAAAGCATGATAGCAGAAAATATAGTATCCAAAACAAGGCATGATACAACCTAAAGACTACTTCGGTCATGAATCAAGCATAGTGCCCGCATATACGCTCGTCATCTCGCATATATGTTACTTCTCGCACATTCCAATTAGACAAATAATGTCATATCCTAAGGGTTATTCCCTCAACAAAATTAGGTAAGATACTTAACTCATCCGGGCTAGCCTTCAACCTCAAATCACATAGAAACCTTGCTCTAGCCCTCCAATCGCGCAAATCCCAGCCAATGCTCAACCAAGCAGGTCAACAATGCCATAGAAAGCATTTCCTATCCATAAAACCTCAATCTTTAAAGAATTTCCAAAAAAAATCCAAAAGTCAACCCGGACTTGCGTGCCCGAAATACAAAACCAATATCAGATCTCGATGACCCATAACCTGCCGACTCCAAATATGTAGATTCCAAAATCGAGTCCAAATCGGTACTTAAATCCCCAAAATGCACTCTCTTAAAGTGTAGACAAAATCCCCAAATTTCCTTTCAAAATTCCATGATTAAAGTGCATGAATCCATGAGAAATCAAGATATATAATCAAACCCAAGTGGAAAAACTTACTCGCAAAGTAGTAGTAGAAATCTACTCCAAAATTGCCTCTTTCCATGCTCCAAACCTCAAAATAATGAGAAAAGAACAAACCTCTGGATTATAACATGCTTCCCGGGCCTCTCGCATCTGCATCCCAAAAGCTCGCAGAAGCGAGCTCGCTTCTGCACCAGAAAGTTCGCATACGCGAACACTTCCTAGTTGATCATCGCACTAGCGACAATTACCTCCGCGGATGCGGCTCTGCAGGCGCGCACAAAATCCCGCAGGAGCGACACCCGCCTGGCCTGACAACACTCGCAAATACGCCATCGCAAATGCGAACACCAAGCCGTAGGTGCGACCACACTAGAATCAGCCATGCCATCACAGTGTTTTTGAGAGCGAGAAGCACTAAAAAGCGACAGGGGCTCGCCTCGCTTCAAAAGCGAAGCGCACACTTCATTGAAGTGAAGCGCAATTCTTAAAAAACATATTGTAAACCTAGCGAAGAGACAATATAAATAATCAAAAAGTTCAATTTAAAAACTTAAAAGTAGGTACCACAAAATCCTCCATAAACCATATGACAAGCAAAATCAAAACCACTAAATTACTAGAATCAACATCTTATTCTTCTACTCTTCTAGTTCTTCTTCAAGATTGTCGAAATCTTGAATTCCTCTATTATCTTCATATTGCTCGTCATCTTCTTCTTCCCCCTCCTCTTCCTCTTCATGATCACTTTCATCTTCGTCAATTAGGGATCGACTTGTAGTACCTACACTTTTTTCCTTCCTATTCAAGCTTGAACTTGAAGTATTCCCCCTTAAACCATAAGGGTTCTTCCCAACTCCACTAGCCTCCGCAACATCACCCCAAGTGAAATTAGAGTCGCCTTAAATATTTCTTCATCTTCACAATTTTTGGGAACTCCGGTTAGCCACTCATTAGCCTCATCAATATTGTCCAAAAGAATTCGATCAATTAGATTGCGGTGGTTGTAGCGACGCCTCAATGCTCTATTGTATTTTATGAACACTAAATTATGGAGGCACTTCAAGATTAATCGATTACTCTTCTTTGTATGAATCTGCAAACAAGATGTGTCAACTAATTAATAGGAGTTGGGACAATTGAGATATAATTTACTTTCTCAATACACGAAATCATTCTTTTTAGTTCTCACGTGTTAAAAAACGCTCCCGTTCCTTTCACATCCGGATGAACTACAAATTAAACTTAGAACTTTGATGGCGAAAATCTGTAATCCGGAGTCTCTGCACCATATTGGTCCTACCTCTCAACTATAGAAGTGAAAAAAAATATTCAAGAGTTAACAAGTATAAAAAATACATTAAAAGTTAGAGCTATAAAATATAGAAGCGCTCGGTCACCTGGCGACTTCGTCTTTCTTTGTTTAATAGCCAGTCACAGCTTAAAATGTCATTCAGCTGCCTTGTAAATAGCAAACTGATCTACTATCTTTTCTTCCAGCTCTTCATCTTGGGTCAACTTAATAACACACTCATGGAATCCCTTCCACACTTCTTTAGCCAGTGAATTATTCTCATACTGATCATGAAAGAGTGACGGGTTCAGAATTAGTCTAGCTGTATGCAAAGGTCGATGAAGTTGCTCCGTCCATCTTGAATCAATGATCTGAAAGACCTTTGCATATTTCTGCTGATCAGTGAATGATGCTTGAATAGCCTCCTTGGCCCTATCCATAGCTTCATAGATGGTAGCCCATTGGTGGTTTTTGCTCCCCATCCACCAAACGGAGTACTCTAATCANACTATGCAAAGTCAAGAAAGCAGTGGCGAACCTTGTCTTGCCCGGTTTCACCAAATTTTTTTGTTTGGTGAATCTTCTCATCATATTCAATAACAAGGGCCGCTGAGTAATATAAGAATGTACCCTAACGCCCTGGCCAAAAACTGTAGAGAAGGGTTTTTTCTTGAAAATGTCCCCGAACATTAAGTTGATACAATGAGCCGCCCATGGAGTCCAATAGACATTCGGGTACGCTCCTTGCACCATACCACCCGCTTTAACATTTTCACTCGCATTATCAGTGACCACTTGAACAACATTGCTTGGGCCAAGACGGACATTTTGATGTGGTCAGTGGACGCATCGCTAGCATCAATCGACTCGAGAAACAAACTCCCCTTGGGAGAATTCACCAACACATCAATAGTCATTTTCCCCGTTCTTGCCGTCCACTTATCCATCATAATGGAGCATCCATACTTGTTCCACACAACTTTATGTTCCTTCACAATTTTATTGGTCTCCTACTTCCTTATTTAGATAAGGACCTCTGATTTCATGATAAGTGGGGGGCTTCATTCCAGGTCCATATTGACCAACGGCCTCAATAAAGTCTCCAAAAGTGTCAGTATAGTTGGCACAATTGAAGGGGAGCCCAACATCATAGACCCATCGTGCAAAAGCTTTAACTGCACGATCCCTTAAAATGTCCTTGACAATTTTTTTGCACATCTTTTCCACTGCTCTCTCCTTCTGGCTTCTTTGGGAAATAACAATCTATAAGATCTTTAGTCCTACTCGTACCCGTCGATCCATGGCTTGAAGAGATTGCATCTCTTCCCCGTTTTGTTGGAAGTGACAAACCCTCACCTTCTTCCATATTTTCATCATCATGATGACTCATTTGATTTTTTTGCTCCTTGTCCTTCTCAACAAAATTTTTTATTTCCTCCCTCACCTCCGGCGGGCATTTCGGACAACTTGTGACGTTTCTATCGCCACCAATAAGATGAAATCTAAAGCGATAAATTTCCCCCGTTGTATCTTGTTACAAAACTTATATATAGAATTTGTACTATTCTTCTCATTAACTTTATCGCCATATCGCCAAGCCGTGTCTTTCTCTTTCGAACTTTGGGACATTTTTAATCCCTATTAAGATACAAGAAAAACAAACACAATGAAATAAACTGAAAATATAACATATATATATATATAATAATAATAATTAACTTTATAAA